AGACAGAGACAGAGACAGAGCATGAGCAGGGGAGGGGCAGAGAGAGAGGGAGACACAGAACCTGAAGCAGGCTCCAGACTCTGAGCTGTCAGCACAGAGCCCAATGCGGGGCTCGAACTCACGGACCGTGAGATCATGACCTGAGCTGAAGTCAGATGTTTAACCGACTGAGCCACCCAGGCGCCCCTCAAATCCTGCCTTGCCCCTCGCTGGCAGGGCGACCTCGGGCGCTGCAGTTTCCTCACTAGTCAGAGACTCATTTCCCAGGCTGGTGAGGACAGGGTGTGTGGTAGAGGGCATGTGGAGTCATTTGTTGGCTTGGCAACATCTGGAGCTGGGGCCAGGCAGCTCTAGGCTCTTACGTCCTATCAAGAAACGTCCTGAGCTCCTACTGGGTGCAGGCACCACATGGACGCAAGGGATTTGGGGTGGGGGGGTGGGGACAAAGCCTGGCCCCTGCCCTCCCAGGGCAGACAGATGGGGGAGGCAGACGTGTGACCCAAGGCTTCCCTGGATAAACAGCGGGACGGGGATCCCAGAGGAGGCACCCAGCCCAGGGAGGGGCTGTGCTGATCAAGGAAGGCTTCTTGGAAGAAGCGGTGGCCGAAGCATGAGGAGGAACAGGGAGAGTGCACCGGGCAGAGGGTGCCGCACGTGCAAAGGCTCGAGGGTCCAAGGGGCGTGTTTCATGCCCAGTAGGCAAGACGAGCCTTTCCCAACTTCAGAATTTGGCTGTGCCCTCCCCCTAGAATCCTCTTCTCATCTCGGGCTCCGCGTCCAGCAATTTCTCGTCCTGTACATCTCCGCTCAGAGGGGGCCTCCCTGCCCCCCGACTCCCCGCCCCCGCCCCCAACACTGCCTCTCATCTTGTCTTCACGGCACCTATCGGCAATGACGCTGCAACACGACACAGTAGTCTGTCATTCCTCTCCCCGTCACGCTGTGAGCCGGGGCGGGGGGGGGGGGGGGGGGGGGGGGGGGGGGGGGGAGGGGTGGCGCATGGCAGGACCCACCCCCACCGCCACTGTGTCCCCAGCGTCCGGCCTAGGACGTGGTATGCGGTAGGGGCCCCGTGCGTGTTTGTTCAAAGGATGCATTTTAACAGTCTTCCCGGGTCTCGGCGCCAGCAGGGGCGAAGGCGTCAGGAGGGCCCCCAACTGAACCGGCGCCCCCTCCCTTTGTGGCACCCACTTTACTGCGCATCAGCTGGCATCCGGCGGGCTCCTGGGGCCCCAGCTCACGGGAGATCTGTCGCAGGACAGAGGCCGCCAGCTGCTCGCGGTAGCAGGGCAGGAAGTCCCTCAGCATGGTGTCCACCTGGCCTGCAGGGACAAGGGGACACTCAGGCGGTTGAATCAGACCTGCCTGGGGAGGGCCGAACAGGCAGGGAGGCCGCTTGTGAGCTCCTACCCTTGCCCCAAAGCTGCCCAACAAGAGGTGCTCCAAATTCCATTCACCCTGAACCCTCCAGACTGTTTCCATCCACGTGGGAACAGGGGGTGGGGGAGTTAGGTGACCCGGGCTTAATTTATAACAGACGCACAATAAATTTTAATCGTCTAGAGCATCCGATCTGATGAGCTCTGACACCTTTACAGCCCAAGAAACCATCGCCACAATCGAGGCGGTGAACGGAGCCATCCCACCCGAGTTCCCTCTTGCCCCTTCCACGGGGAGGTTTTCAAAATCTTTTAAGAGCCTCACCCTAGCACCAGGGAATTTTCTGGGGTGACCCGATCTAGGAAGCGACCACACAAGTGTTAAAGTCCGCCAAGCGGTTTCGCTAAGATGTGTGCACTTGGCTGTATGTAAAACATGAATCCATCCTGCTGCCTGGAATGTGGACCCAACGGCCGGAGCATCAGCAGGCATTATGCAGCATGAGGTGGCCTTAGGCACAAAAGCCACGCATGGGAGAATGAGGAAGCGAAGGAGTTCAGGTGTCTAACTTGTATCAGCCTGCCTGCCACTGTACCTCCCTATAGGAGAGAGAAATAAATCTTTATCTTGTTTAAGCCCCTACAGGAAAAGAAAAAGAAAAACACGGCATAGAGTAACTTACTGAATCCTTACAATGGTTCCATGAGATAGGCATTGTTGCTATCCCTGTTTTGCAGATAAGAGAATGAGACCTAGGAGATGAAGTGATTCACCCAAGGTCACACAGTAAGTGGCCGTGGGGTGAACTTGGATGGTCTGGGTGTTGGTAAGACATGCCACATGCCGGTGCACATGCTGTTCCCCCTATCTGGGATGCTCTTCCCAGATCTGCCCACCAACTCCATCACGTCCCTCCAGCCCCGGCTTGGCCCTCATCTCAGTGGGCAGTTGCCCACCCCTCCTTCTTCCCCTGATGTGGGGAGCGTGGGGGTTCTCCACCGTGCTCATCAATCAACTGCCATTCTTGAAATGATAACTTGGCTTTCCTTCCTGGTCTAGATCACGAGCCCAGGAGGGCGGAAGGATGCTCCACCCCACCGTGTCCCCCGCAGAAAGTTCGTCCCAGGAGGTCTGGCTGGGCTTGGGACACCCTCCCACCTGGCCCCCCGCCCTCACCCCGAACCCACGCCCCGAATAGGGTTACCAGATTTACCGAGTAAAAGTACAGGACGCCGATGAAATTTGAATTTCAGAGAAATTCAGAAGAAATTCAGAGACATGAGGAGTCATTTTTTCGCATACGTATGTACCCCAGGCAAAACGTGGGACATACTCATACAAAACAAGAATATTCGTTGCTTATCTGGAACGTGGGGCATCCTGCTACGGTCAGCCACCGTGTCGGACAAACTTGGCCCTGAACCCCACCTGGCCCCCAACCCACCTCACCCCGTGCCGGCTCACCTCTCAGGTGCTGTTGCCGCCGCTTGTCCAGGGGGCTCGAGGGCCGCCCACCCATCCTGCTGCAGTCACTGGGGGCTCCCTCGAGAGCAAAGCAGACACTCCCTTCCCTCCCACGACCCCAAGGTTTCTGGGTTCAGGGGCACCCCGGGAGCAGGGCAGCCCGTAAGAGGCCTGGATGCCGCTGAGACCAGCCGCCTGGGCTCAGAAGCCAGAACATAAGCCCCTGCGTGAGTGTGTGCGTTTGTTGGGCTCGGTGGGGAATTGCCCACCCCTGCCCTGCCCCACCCTGCACCTGCGTCCTCCTGGGACCAAGGCCTCCAGAGCTGCTGGTTTCTGCAGGGGCTGCTGGGGCAGCCCCGGCGGTGCTTTGGGGGTATGGAAGACAAGAGTCCCGGCTGGCTTTGGAGGAGGGACGCAGGGCAGACACCCGGTGGGACCAGTAGCTGCTGTTGGGGTGATGGGCAGGGACGGGGTGTCTAAGTCCTGGTGCCCGCTCCCACTCTGCCAACCCCTTGCTGGGTGGTGCTGGGTTCTGAGAGGATCCGGCCCTGGCCCAGCCCCCAGCAGCCCCCAGCCTGACAGCCTCAGTTCCTGGGGTCAGTGCTGGCGCAGGGGGAGAGGACGGGGAGCTGTCGGTATGCCATGGACTGATGGGATACGTCCCTTGTGTTCCTGTCTCGTCAGCCTGTCCTCCATCAGTGCACATAGCACTGGACTGGGTTGGGTTAGTTGGGTCTCCCTACCCCTTAACCTGTCTCTCCAGTGCCTAGCAGACAGCAGCCCTCAGTTTAGTGAAGGGAGGGAGGGAGGGAGGGAAGAAGCAGAGTCGGCACTCCAGGCTGAAATATGATCAAATGGGAGTTTTGCAGGCTTTCAGATGAGGAGAGTGTTGAGTGCACGTGGCCAGAATGTGGATGTGATGGCTGGAGCAGGTGCAGTCCACCTTGGGCCGTGAGGTGAAACCCACATACCGACAATGGCACAACTATGATGTAGGAACCGGGGATCCCCCCCCTGCCAAGAGTTCATGACATTGCTCCACCGACCCTGGGTGGCCTCCCTCCAGAAAAAGAGCTAACCCTCCATTTGTTTAAGCCACCAGGGACATCTGATTGTAACCCTCACCAATGCCCCCGGATTCGGATTCGTTTCTTCTGTCAACGAACATCACTCCTTGCCAGCCTGAGTGTCATCCTTGAACTATGTGCCAGGGATGCAGAAGTGGGTAAAGCAGACCGTGGTCCAGCCCCCACGGACCATCCGTTGGCACACCAACAAAACTGTCAGGTAACGAGAAGGGTGAGGAAGAAAGCTGGAACAGGAAGAGGTAGAAAATACCAGGAGTGGAGAGGGATCGGGGACATGATTTGCGCCATGACCTAAAGCAAGTGACAGCCCGAGCCATGCAAAAAGCTGGAGGAAAAAGAACACTGGGGAGCAGGCACAGCACAAGCAAAGGCCCTGAGGTGCGAACGGGCTTGACAGGTTCCGGTATAGCCCGAGGTGGGTGGGCTACAGGAAGGCAAGCGAGGGGCAGACAAAACAGGTCTGGATCGCTGCGGCTACAGGGAGAGGAGCAGAGGGGAGAGGCCCCCCACATGGCGTCCCCATGCCCATCTCACCACTTCCCTTTGCTTCTTGGCACCCCCATCCTGCCTTCTGCCTGCAGCACTGGGGTCACGGCCACCTGCTGTCGCCCGAGCCCACGCCTGGGTTGCTTTCTCTGCTTTTCTTCATGTTTCCGCTCTGGCCCCGGCCCACTTCCTCACTCTCACATCTGAGTGACTGACCCAGACAAGATGTTGGAGCAAAGTTCAGTTTCTGTGGTTTTGGCTTCGGGGTTTCAATCCCCATGGCCCCGATCAGGTGCCTCTGCGGGACGCCCCCAGCCCCCAAACGTGGCAAAGCTCAAACACGGCTGAGAGGCACCCGTGCACCCACCAGCCTCCCCCACTGCAGCCCCTAACGCCACAAAGCCGACAGGTGACCCACGCGTGGTCACGCTCTGGGAAAATGCTACGGCGCAGGCACATCACAGACGGAGGTGTCTTGGCACATTCAAGGCTCTGAGAAGGTCCGCAGCCCAGGGGGACACAGCGGCTGCTGCCGGCCCCACGTGTGCCGGGAGAGCCCGGTCAAGTGTACAAAGGGCTGAACTCTGTGCTCCAAAAGGATATGTCCACAGGCTACTATCAAAAAGCCAAAACAAGCGTTTGTGAGGATGCGAAGCAACTAGAACCCTTGTGCCCTGTTGGCGGGAACATAAAAGGGCACAGCCGCTACAGAAAACCCTACGGAGGCTCCTTGAAATCTAAACACGGAATTACCATGTGAATCAATAATTACACTTCTAGGAATATCCCCAAAGAAGAACTGAAAGCAGGTTCTTGAGGAGGCGTTTGCACACCCACGTTCACAGCAGCCCTGTCACAAGAAGCAGAGCGTGGAAGCAACCCAAACGTCTCTCGACAGACGAACGGGAAAAAACGTGACGCACGCACGCGGTGGAAGAGGACTGGGCCCTAAAAAGGAAGGCAATTCCGGCCCAGGCTGCAACATGGAGGGACCGTGAGGACGTTACGCTGAGTGAGATAAGCCAGCCGCAAAAGGACACATCTTGTAGGACTCCACTCATAGGAGGTACCCAGAGGAGTCAGAGTCATAGGGACAGAAAGGGGAGCGTGGGGAGCTGTCTAACAGGGGTAGAGTTTCCGATCTACCAGTGTTCTGGGGACGGAGGGCGGGGACGGCTGCACAGCAGTGTGCACGTACTTAAGGCCACCGCACGGGACACTTAAAAACGGTTAGGATGAGGGGCGCCGGGGTGGCTCAGTCAGTTAAGCGTCCGACCCTTGACTTGCGGCTCAGGTCACGATGTCACGATTGAGCCCCAAGTTGCGCTGTGTGTGTGTTGACAGCGAGGGCCCTGCCTGGGGTTCTTGTCCTCTCCGCCCCTCCCTGGCTCATGTGTGCGTTCTCTCTCTCAACATAAATAAATAAATAATAACTTTAAAAAATGGTTAAGATGGTAAATTTTGTTATGTGGTTTTATTTTTAAATGTTTATTTATTTTTGAGAGAGAGAGACAGAGAGAACAAGCAGGGGAGGGACAGAGAGAGGGAGACACAGAGGGGCACCTGGGTGGCTCAGTCGGTTAAGTGTCGACTTCAGCTCAGGTCAGGCTCTGGCAGTTTATGGGTTCGAGCCCCGCGTTGGGTTCTGTGCCGACAGCTCAGAGCCTGACACGGGGCTCAAATTCACAAACTGTGAAACCCTGACCTGAGCTGAAGTCAGATGCTTAACCCACTGAGCCACCCAGGAGCCCCCGTTACTTGGTTTTTAACACACACACACACAGGATATGTCCATCCCTTAACCCCTAGAACCTCAGAATGTGACCTTATTTGCAGACGTAATTCCTAAGGATCTTGAGAATTCATCCTGGATTTAGGGTTGTCCTATAGCCAATGACCTGTGTCCCTACGAGAACAGGAGAGGACACAGACACACAGGGAGGACACAGGACAACAGAGGCAGACACGGAGTGATGTGTCTAGAAGCCAAGGATGGCCAAGGCGAGCCAGCAGCCACCAAAACCCAGAAGAAAGGCATGGGACAGATTCTCCCTCAGAACCTCCAGAAGGATCCAACCCTACTGACACCCCGATTTCAGACTTCTGACCTCCTGCTCTGGGGGACCACACATTCTGTGGCACTTTGCTCCGGCAGCCCAGGGTGCCCATCCCTGCCCTCCACCCTCTGGGACGAAGGCTTTAGGTCACACGCACAGCCTGGGCATCCCTGATCCCGCTGCCCACCAAGGACCACGAGACAGTGCAGACTTCAAGCACACGCGCCCTTTAATATCTGGTCACCCAGAGCCACGGCCGGTGGGCTGAGGGCCCCCGGGCCGGGCCGGTGGCTGGAGCCCAGGGGGCTTCTGGCGGCACCACGCGGCTTTTCGAAAATGAAGCCTGGAGCGGCGGCGGGGGCAGCGGGGCCCAGCCCAGGAAGGTCCCGGCCCACGGGGGCCGTCTGTGGTCCCAGCTGCGGTGTCCCTCGGGGCCAGCTACAAAGTGGAATGCTTCTCGAAGGGCACAGTCAGGAGTCGCGCCGCGGCCTCGTCCAGGAACCAGCAAAGTTTCCCCGTGTGGGGCTGGACCAGGGCGGCGGGGAGGGGGTTCTCCTCCTTGGCCTCCAAAATGCGCTGCATAAAAAAGGCAGGATCGTGAGGCCCCCGACCCGCACCCCCAGCACCCCTCGGAGCTCCCGGGACCCCCCACGGACAAGAGTCTCCTACTCTCAGAATGTGATGTCACCCTTCCGGCTGTCCTGGCTTTAAACGATCAGCAGGGGACTGTGTAATACCGGGGTCGGCACACCTTTCCGGCACAGATCAGAGTCACTCTTTCGGCTCTGCAGGTCGTACCCTGTCTCTGTCACAGCTACTCAGCTCGGCTGTCACAAGCGGCAGGATGTGGTCCCGTGGGCTGTTCTGTGCTGATCCCCTGATGTGACCTCACGATCGGTGGGAATTATAAATACTGCTTTCTGATGGCCAGGCCTGTCCCCATGCCCTCTGTCATCTCCTCTGACCATCGCCCTGTGAGGTCGCCTCATTTTCCACCCCCATTTTACAGTCAGGGAAAGCCTGAGGCTTGGGCAGTCTTACGTGAGCCTACTCTGAGCTAAAACCGCTGCACTGATCCTCAGGAGGACAATACAGAAGGGGCCTCTCGACCCACCTTGCAGATGGGAAAGTTGAGGCCTGAGGGCTTAAGTGGCTGCCCAAGGCCATGCTGGACGTCACAGGCAGGGATGCTGGCCTGTTGGATTTTTTACAGTCTGAACCCTTAATCCCAAGCCACTCCTGTGAGGACATCTGGGCTTAACAGTTTGGGAGGAATAATTATTACTTATTAATTTAAAAAAACATATATTTCTGGGGTGCCTGGGTGGCTCAGTGGGTTGAGTGTCTGACTTCAGCTCAGGTCATGATCTCAGTTTACAAGTTCGAGCCCCAGATCAGGCTCTCTGCTGTCTGTGCAGAGCCCGCTTCAGATCCTGTCCCCTCTCTCTTTGTTCCTCCCCTGCGTGTGTGTGTGTGTGCACGCACACATTCTCTCTCGAAAATAAACATTTAAAAATTTTTTTCAATGTTTTATTTAGTTTTGAGAGAGAGAGAGAGAGAGAGAGAGAGAGAGAGAGAGAGTAGGAGGGGCAGAGAGAGTGGGAAACATAGAATCCGAAGCAGGCTCCAGGCTCTGAGCTGTCAGCAGAGCTCGACGCGGGGCTCGAACTCACGAACCATGAGATCATGACCTGAGCTGAAGTCGGTCGCTTAACCAACTGAGCCACCCAGGCGCCCCTTTTTAGTTTACTTCTAATATCTTACTTGTTTTATATGTTCCTAAAATATCAAGTAAACTTTTTTTTCTTATTCCTCCTTGTTTAGTTATTCCTACTGCATAATTTCCCTCCCTGATTAGTTTTGCCAGGGGTCTAACTTTGGGATCTATTACCATTAAGCTTTTAAGAATATTAACCAATCCAGGGGTGCCTGGATGGCTTAGTTGATTGAGTGTCCGCCTTCGACTCAGGTCATGATCTCATGGATCGTGAATCAACCCTCACATCGGGCTCACTGCTGTCAACGCAGAGCCCACTTCAGATCCTCTGTCCTCCTCTCTCTGCCTCTCCCCTGCTTATGCTCTCTCAAAAATAAATAAACATATAAAAAAAGAATATTAACCAATTCATTAATTTCTGACTTCAATGTCACTTATTCCTTCCACTGACTTTTCTTGGATTTTTGTTATTGTTCTTTTTCCTGAGTCTAGAGTAAAGCACTCAATTTGTTTAACTGTTTTTTTATTTAATAATGTTTTTGTGTTTTTTTTTTTTAATTTTTTTTTTCAACATTTATTTATTTTTGGGACAGTGAGAGACAGAGCATGAACAGGGGAGGGGCAGAGAGAGAGGGAGACAGAATCGGAAACAGGCTCCAGGCTCTGAGCCATCAGCCCAGAGCCTGACGCGGGGCTCGAACTCACGGACCGTGAGATCGTAACCTGGCTGAAGTCGGACGCTTAACCGACTGCGCCACCCAGGTGCCCCTAATAATGTTTTTAAAAATTGTATTTTTGGGGCGCCTGGGTGGCGCAGTCGGTTAAGCGTCCGGCTTCAGCCAGGTCATGATCTTGCGGACTGTGAGTTCGAGCCCCGCGTCAGGCTCTGGGCTGATGGCTCGGAGCCTGGAGCCTGTTTCCGGTTCTGTGTCTCCCTCTCTGCCCCTCCCCCGTTCATGCTCTGTCTCTCTCTGTCCCAAAAATAAATAAAAAACGTTGAAAAAAAAAATAAAAAAAAAAAATTTGTATTTTTAAGAGATCTCTACACCCAGTGTGGGGCTTGAACTTACAACGCCAAGATCAAGAGTCATGCCCTTATTTACTAATTTTTGAAACCACACCTTAAAGCTACAAATTTACCTCTGAGTGCAGCTTTGGCCTCATCTCATCAATTTCACTTCATTTCATAATTATTTATTCCTAAGTAGCCTGTAATTATAGTGGCCATCTCCCCTTCAAACCAAGAGTTACTCAAGTCCCTTGGGGCCTGGTGCTTCTAGCACAATAATGTCTGGGGCCATATTCCATCCCTGGGCCCACATGCCATGACCTTCCTGGGAATGGGGCCCTCAGCCATTACCTTCAGAACAGCTGCCTTGCCTTCTCCGGTTGCCACAAAAATGACTGTTCGGGCTGCATTTAGCACAGGAAGCGTGAGGGTCACACGCTCTGGTGGTGGCTTTGGGGAGTCGCTGATAGGGGCCACGATCTTCTCCCGCTCCTGGGGGAGGGAGGCCCCGGGGTGGAATGTCACTTCAGTTTCTCGAGCACTCACATACACCAGGCATGATCTGTCCATCATTCCATCACCCCGCCCCCACCATTAATCTTGTGGTACTTGATGTAAATCCCCATTTTAAGATGGGTAAACCAAGGCTCCAGAGTTGGTTAAGGCTTGCTAGTTGGCAGAGGCTGACTCAAACCCTGCTGTGGGCACCTCCCGGTCCCCCCAAAGTGGTCCTCCCTCCGGAAGTTCTAGTCGGCAGAGGCCCATGTGGGTGTGCTCACCTGGAGGAGGGGGTGGTCTGGGAAGAGTGAGCAGGTGTGGCCGTCAGGACCCACTCCGAGAATCAGCAGGTCAAAAACCGGAATGGCGTCCCCTTGGAAGGCCTGGGGGGGAAAAGACAGTCCTGAGAGGTTGGGGGCGGGGTGGGGCTCAAAGGACACAAAGAGACAGTGGCTGTAACACAGGGAGCAACACGCAGCCTCACCTGCATGAAAGGGCCTCTGTGAGGCTCCACATTTCACCCGTGTGACTGGCCAAAAGCCTGGGGACGCAACTGTCCCAGACCTGCTCCCAGAGTGTCAGAGGCTGGGCTACCTTCAGGGACCCAACGGTGGGGCTGTGGACTTCCGGGAAGGGGGAGCGGGGTGGTCCTGAAAAGCATCTGTCCAGGGTGGGGCCGTATTTGCAACCACCCCCGGGGCTGGGGGGGGGGGGCGCGGGGCGCTAGTTTTTGCTGGTGATAATCATACAGTGCCACCCACAGGCCTGCTCCGTCACCACCGCATGGACCAGGCCTCCCTGGGGCCACACCATGGGACTCACCTGTCTCAGCTTCTTGGCATAGTCCTCGGCCGCCTCCTCCACAGGAAGCTGGGGGTTAATGGTGATCACCTGGCTGTCGGGAATGGGCAGCCTGGAGAGCAAGTGGGTCTGCAGCAGACGGAGGGACAAAGTCACCAACAGCCACACATGGTTCCCAGAGGCACAAGGTTTGCACGCGTGACCACCTGGATCCTCCAGGGGAAGATGCCTCCAGGACAGAACCATCATACACCCACCTCCTGGGTGAGTCGGGATCCCGGGGGCGTTTCCGCCAGGAGTCTTTCAAGGCCAGCATGATTGGGGGCCTCCTGGCCCCAGCCTGCACCTGTGTGGCCACATCACAGCCCTGTTTCCAAGTCTCCAGGGTCCCTTGGACCTCAGGATAAAACCCAGCCCCTCTCTGCCCTCCATGACGCCCAGC